AATATAAATGTTGAATAATGCATGATGAATAATTTTTAATAATTATTGATTATCTGAACTGAACATTATGTGCATGATATCAAATGATTTGATTATGAATTTAGATTCAGTTTATATGAATGTTCGATGCATTAGATATGCTTACTCAGCTTCAACGCTGAGCGTGTAGTATGTTTTATTTGCTACACGCAGGTTAATGAAGTGACGTGATCCTGGAGGCAGACGGAGGCGAGATTGTCGGAATGGATGTGATGGTTTTGAATTAAAGAACATAAATAAATTATGTTTATGATTATGATTGTTAAGCTTCCGCAATATTGAAAACTCCGTACTGTTTATATTATGAAAAATATTATTGTGATAAATAAAAGTGTTTGAAATGTTTTAAATTTTTACGATTACCAAGTTAATATTTTAATCTGAAAGGGGCTGCAGACCTGGACAGATTAGGGTGTTATAATAACGACGAGCAAAATAAGCAAAAAAATGGCCGAAATGATTTGTGAAGAAAATTTGTCATACATGTTTTTCTGAAGAACGTGGATTTATTGATTAATGTCAACACGCATTAAACCCTCAAGCAAGAGGTTTTTCAAGAAAAACAATTAAACGAGAAATTATTCGACAGTATAAACTTGAAAAAATAAATTTGGCAAATTTTTTTCTCAATTTTAATTTTCGTGTTACTATTTGTTCTGATATTTGGGATGAAACATATCATAATTTGTCTTATATGGGTGTTACATGTCATTGGATAGATATTGATTGGATTATGCATAAACATGTTCTTGCATTTCGTGATTTCAATGATTCTCATACTGCTGAAAATATTTTTCTATTGCTTCAGAGTATTCTCTGGGAATACAACTTAGTTGATAAAGTGTTTGCATTTGGTTTTTGATAATGCTACTAATAATACTACTGCTATTCCTAGACTTAAAAAATTTGCCCCCTACTACGACTATGGGTAGATTTCTACATCAACGTCGTGCCTGTCATGTTTTAAATTTATGTGGTCAATAGGGATTAGAAGCTATGGGGGGTTTGACGAATATTAAAGATGGAATTAGAAAAATTTGGGGTAGTCGTCTTATTTCGAAGTCCTGGAAGACATTCTGTAAGTCTAAGGGTAGAAGACAAATAATATTTGCCAAAGATATCAACATTAGATGAAATAGTACTTACAAGTTAATAGCATAGATTCTAAGCTACAAATAGGAACTTGCTGAATTTTTAGGGATGAACTTCGTTTAATCATTTCACCTATTAAATTTGTTATTGTTGAAAAATTGAATGTCGTATTAGAAGTTTTTAATAACGCAAGTCTTACTTTTTCGCATGTTTACCAACCAACTACAAATACATTTTTTAAAGAGTGCGTTACAATCGCAACATGTTTTCGTGAAAGTTTGGCTGATCCAGATTTGTACCCTTATGTCTCTCTTATGAAAGATAAATGGTGTGCTTATTATTTGTACATTCGTGATATTTATAAAATAGGTATTATTTGTGATTCACGCTTTAAGATTGAAAATTTTAAAATTCTAATTGACTATTACTACAGTTGTTTTTTAGATGAAAATAGTTATTACTACAGTCATTTAATAGAATGGGAAAAAGAAAAAAATAATGCTATAACTCTTTTTGAGGCTTTGTTTAAGGAATATCAAGGGTTATATGGTAACATACCAGAAGAAACAGCACCTCCTCCGCCCCCCAAATCAAAAAAAGGTTTTAAAGGAATAGTCGATGGACTTCTTGCAAAGAAAGGGAAGCGTGCTCAGCCTTCGACGAGTTCAAGTGGTAGAACAGTAAGCTCGCACAACGAACTTGCTATGTACCAAGGGGTGCAATGCGATTACGACGACGACGACGTGGAGTTTGACGTCCTCGGATGGTGGAAGCGGAACGAACACATGTTCCCATGTCTCGGAATGCTAGCAAGACAAGTGTTATCCGTCCCGATATCAACCGTAGTAATAGAACAAGAATTCAGTGCTGGCGGCAACATTCTAACCGACTACCGAAGTTGTCTTAATGCTGAATCTCTTCAAACACTTGTTTGCAACCAATATTGGCTCTTGGCAAGATGTCGAGCTCAAGAGTCAGGATACGAATTCAATTTGGAGCATTGCATGAATGCAACCACAGATGGAAGTCCGAGTTTTGAGGAATAAGTTATAAACTTTTTTATGTTAATGTAGATATGTAATAATGTAAATATGTAATTAGTTTTTTTAAGTGAGTGATATATAAGCTCCTTCGAGGGTTTCTTTACGATTTTTTACCTCATCGCTTTTTTTGAACCGTCAGGATATTAAATGTAATTGTTCTTCAGTTCGTGTATTACTCATTTTACAATATTTAAATAACAACTACAGTTTTTGATTTTTTATTTCATTCTTTCCTTTAACAATTGCAAATTTACAACTTTACACTTTTAAAATTTAAAAATAATCAAAAAAAATATATATTGGGGGTGGTCGAAACTGGCCGGTTCGGTACCGGAACCGTCGGTCGAAACTGGCCGGTTCCCAATGTAGCACTTTTAGTCATTATGCATTAGTCATTATTCAAGTAAATATTTGTCATCACTGGACATTATGGATATTATTAATTATTATTTAGAGAATAAAACAATTTAAATACTATTTACAGAAATGACTTAAGTTTTAGTGCTATTTAGTTCAAATAATTTCAATATAATACTCCTTATTAAATAATAATAATATAAACCTACGCACTACACCATTCCAAGGGAAGAAACCAATAAATCCTAAGAGAGGGACTTAACATTGTCGTTCTTCTTCGCCGCGCCATAAACCACCGGATCAGACCAGGAGAACCTCCCTGAGTACTTCGCCGGAAGTTGACGGAAAGCTTCGCCGGGATTCTAAGCCGATTCAAGGTGAGTGATGGTTTCTTACGTTAGGATTAATTTGTAGATTAGTATTCGTTGATATGTTCTCAATCGATTGACGTTGGATTTGCTATTTCGAGTATAGATTACGTTGAATTGAATTAGAAATTGTAATATGGGATTTCGTTCTGTTCTTTCTCTGTTCTTGCTCTGTTGCGTTTCTGTCTGCTGTCCCACCCTCGCTCGGTTCTACCCTTTTCTTTCTACCCTGTTCTGTTCCTGCTGTTCTGGACGAGAAAAAGGGACAGAGCTCCTTCATATTTGTTGCTGCTGGTCTACCGTCGAGAAGGAATCACCGCCGGACTGCCTATTCGCCGCCGGGGTCGCTGTGCAGTGGGAAGGAACCACCGGAGAACTCATGTTTTTTGCTGGTCTGGTTGAATGTGAGAGTTTAGAAGAAGTAGAAATGAATAATCTTCATGCTTTGTTGTTGTTGTTCTTGTTTTATACTTCATTGTAACAAATCTAATACTCCTTCCGCCCACAATTGATTACAATTTTTTTCTCCATCTCATCTCGATAACTTCTGTTTATTTGTGTATCAATCCAGTCCTATTCCACCTCGCGACCCAATCCTTGAGCAGGCAAACCATGGTGGAACCAAAGCCTGTTATAGGGCTAACGTGGGAGCCGAAGCTGCCCGGACTTCCAGTCCCTGCCGACAAGCATAAGCTCCACCATTCCAAGCCCCCTGAAACTACTAGCTCCGCCCTTTACATGCCTCGTTCGGAGCTGGTCGATGGTCTCTTTGTGCCACCTATAGATCCCAAAAAGCTTAGGATTTTACGCCGCAAAGAGGTCAAAGACACCACTGGGAAGAACTGGTAACTAATCCTCTTCTCTTTCTTCCTCATATCACTGATTAGTATGAGGAATAGCCGAATAGGGTACCAAAGTTCTAATGTCAATTCACATACTTATTGATGCTTGATTATTGTCCTTGATTGGTCTCGACCTTGCATTAGGTTTGACATGCCTGCTCCGACTCTTACTCCGGAGCTAAAACATGATCTTGAGATATTGAAGGTGCCTTCTCTTTCTCTTTGATTTGCTCAATAAGTTGTAGTCTCGATTTGATGGTTAGCTCAATGGCATATTCTTGCAAGTTTGAAGCTTATTATTTTCTGATATGGTAATTTAGTGGTGACTAATTTTCAGTCCTGAACTGCTTAGTATGTAAATGCTACTACAGTGTAAATATAGTAGATTGACTGGAATTTTAAATATTGACTGTGATTAGGTTTCTCTGTCAGGGTTATTTGTTAAATTCGGAAAACTTTATTGTTATGCACTAATGTACTCCGTAGTAAAATGGTGTTGAGCTGTGCAAATCCACTGCCTAGCAGAAGTGCAAATGCATAATGGCAAAAAATGCAATTCGTCCCATTTTACTGGAGAGAGAACTGTAATACTCCGTAATAAAAAAGATTGATGAATGTACTTAGCATTTTATCTATCATCTTATGTAGGACTACAAGATTTGACTCAAATTGAGTCAGGCATTTAGATCATTTTTTGTGGCATATTTAATCAGTTTATTGTGCTTGAGAAGCTTGTTCAATTAATTTAATAGATAATCTTCTTCAACGAAGTGTTGCTGCTGAAGTCATAGATTAGAACCTCGATAGAATTGTAAGAAAGTTAGAGTGGAAGACTTCACTGGATGCACAAAATTGGAAATAGTAGTGAATGTGTGGTTTTTCGGTTGAGATCAAGGAGCTTAGCCGAGAGCTGTAGCCAAGCTCTAGGGCCTAGCTAGGGATCACAAGAGATTGATCTAACGTCTACACTAATTTTGACTCTCTTCATTTTTCTATCTGACGACTCATCGGTTCTTGCTTTTTCTTTTCCCTTCCTCTTTCTGGTTTTGTTTATCTTGATGTTCATGTGCAAGTGCAACGTATAGTCTTCTTTTTAGAATGAATGAATGATAAAGTTGGCTAATTGCTTCATAGTTTTTGTTTGTTTGTTTTGTTTTAAATCTATTTGGTTTTTATTGGTCTCTAATCCGTATAGCTTCAATAATGGAACTGATATCTGTTTCAGTAATAAGCGTATCCCTTTAACTATCGGCCTAAAACATTGCACTTTCACCTCTGTAAGTAAAAACGTTTTAGACTTAGATCTTCTATTACCCTTTTATGGCTATGTTAAAGAATGGCCAAATGAGATGACACGGAAAGAACTTCCCTTTAACCCACACCCCTCATTCCTTGTAAATGTCAATGTGATACAAATGTCCTCATATATGCCTACAGTAATGGACTGATAGATATAAGTTACTCATATAAGTAGGGATAAATATATGGAATCAAGTGCGAAATATTTGTAATCAACTTCTTAACTTATAGATATGCCAGCCATGGTCACCTAAATCGCGGTACGTTTCGGTACGAGTACGTGCGGGTACGAAATTTGTTAGAGGTGACGAATTCGGTATGAAGGGGGATAGGTTCATTTCGGTATGAAGCCGTTCGGTGTACCAGAAGTCAAAACATAAGTAAACAAAAATAGATAAGATGAGCATAAGTGCATAACATTACAAAATCCAATAGATGAATAGAACATCAACTAAAATATTCTAATCTACTTGTTGCCTTTTTCCTCTCCCATTGTCAAAGCCTTCATTATCAAGGTCTTCCCAAACCATTTCTTCAAGGTGAGCACTTGAACCTTCTATATATGCATTTTCAGGATTCACGTCCCACTTTTTGTGAGGGCCTGATTTGTAGGAATCAGAAAAGCATGCTTGAAGTCGAATATTCGAGTGAATAAACACAAGTTTATCGGCTCGCTTGCAATTTAAGCGATTCCTCTTGACATTATGGATATAAGAGTATGTTCTCCAATTTCTCTCCGCCAAAGAGCTACTAATTGGCTAGGCAGCGAATTCTATGACTATGATGCCAACATCCATCGATTTATGCCTACAGTACGTGGATATAACTAGCTATATGGGAATTCAGACGACAGTATACTTAACCGATGCAACCTCTATCCCAAACAAGATATTAGTTTGATCAATGTTCAATTTTAAACCTTTTAAATTTTGGTAAGCTACAACTGGTAGAACATCATAAATCATATTTAGATTTTAAAATTTCATTGGTTGGCTTCCTAAATTTATCCAATGTAGCAAATTACATGAATAATCAGCTTTGGTTGATCCAACTGGACTCTTTTTCTGGATAAGAAGTGTCTGAAACATGACTCATTTTTTGGAACCAAGGGAGTAGTTACGTTGCTACATCTGTAGTGTGACCATGTTATTCTATTTCTAGTCATTACAAAATGTTCAATTCTTTGTCCGAAATATGAACAATGAATAATGTCTGCCAATTAGGGATGCATAACCTTTTGCAGATGTTTGATAACTATTTGAATTAGGAAGGCTTTCACAATACTATTTATTTTGATTGATTTTGAAATTTGTTGGATGATATGGTTGAAAGACTTAAGTGTTTTTGCAGATGAGAGATGCTTTAGATCCAAAGAAGCACTATAAAAAAGGCGCTTCAAAATCTAAAGCACTTCCCAAGTATTTCCAGGCAAGTAGATTGTTGACTTATGTATTCTACACTATCACATTACAGTACAACCTTATTCTAGCATTTAAAAATGAGTTATGTCTGTTGGATCAGGTGGGTGTTGTGATAGAGCCAGCATCAGAATTCTATTCCAGTAGACTTACCAAGAAGGAGAGGAAGGCAACCCTTGCAGATGAACTGGTTTCTGATGCCCACCTTGCGGAATATAGGTAAGCTTGAGGGGAAAAAAAGTTGGTCAATTGGTTTCTATAGTAATTGAGGAGAAAGAGCTCTAAAACTTAATCTGGATGGAATGAAATCTGCCCCCATACTAATATTCCTATTTGAACACGTTTACTGATAAAAGTGAGATTGTATCGCTGAAATTTATTTTTTAAAAAAGAACTTTTCATAGAAGGAAATAGGAAGATTATTTAGAGAAGGAACAAAAGGAAAACAAAAAGATTAATTTGGGACGGAAGAAGTACTTAACAAATTGAAGAAAACACGTAAAGGTGAGAACACACAAGCACTGAGATTCTCAGTTGCAATTTCTTCATTATGTTCTTTTCGTACTGCACTATGAAACAAAAACAAACAAAAAAACTAAAGGCTAACATGCTTTGAATTTTTTGTTCACAGGAAGCGCAAGGTTAGGGAGATTGAAGCACAAAGGCGGCCCCATGTTGTTGCTAAGTGGAAGCACAAAGGCAAGCAGTCGGGGAGGCATACAAAGCCAAAGCGGCATTGATCAGACCGAACCTTTGCTGGTCATCTCTGATGAGCTTAAACTTCATGGCTTTGATTTAAACTGGACAAGTTATATAGAACTTGTTTTGCCTATGGCTTCTGTTATGATGTGCCCTAACTTCACATCAAACAGGTGAATTTTGTCTCTAAAAAAATACTTAGGAGTTTGTTTTAGTTGTACTGTTGTATTAACTCCATTTATTAGACACTTGATATGTTTTCCTCTGTAATAAATTACTCCTGTCCCAAAAAAGAGTGCATGCTTTATTTTTTTAGATGCTCGTGCCAATTTGTTGTGCCTGTTTCGTCTTATAAAAGCACTAACCCTCTATACATAATGATTAAATCTATTTGTATTCCAAAGATTGTATGACAAAATTCACCACAAAAGTTTACATTTTGCGTCAATGTAAGTGTGAATTTAATGGTTTACATTGACACAAAATGACAAGGTAAAATTTTGTGATCAGACATTTAGTGTTAATGTAAGTGTAAAGCTTTGGGAAATATTTTGGAGTGCACCTGGCATGGTTGATACATGATTCACACGGTCAAATGGTCAAATCACATCTCTTTTTCTTTCCCATATTTCCACGGGGCATTTGATAAAATCAAATGGTCTACTCACTTCTTTTTTTGTTTTGTAATTATGATTTAATTTCAACCCTCGCGCTATAGGAATAGTGGGGGCTTGTATTTTAAAAGATTCTTCATATATATGGAGTATTTTACTCTGCAATATTTTAATTCCATAATTTTTAAATTATTAAAAGTTGTGTTACTAGACATTTTTTGATGGAGGAGAGTATTGTTAGTATTATTGTAATCAAATTTTAATGTAGTAATCATTAGATAAACAAGTTCCTTTTTTGGCTTAACATAGTATGACTTCATGTATTTGGTTGTGTAAAGCAATATGGAGTGTTGTTAGTATTATTGTAATCATATTTTAATGTAGTAATCATTAGTTAAACAAGTTCCTTTTTTTTGCTTAACATATGTTGAGTATGATTTCATGTATTTGGTTGTGTAAAGCAATATGGAGTGTTTTTCATGTACTTGGAAAAAAACTTCATGCTTCCCGTTCTTCTCTCTATCATACAGAGTACACCTAAGAACTCATAAGAAAAAAGTAAAAATGAACGTGAACCACGCAAACATAACTAAATATGGTATGTGACAAAAATAGTGGATAGACAAATGATAAAAAGGAAAAAAATAATAAGACATTGGGAGTTTATAATTTGCATAATTTCTCTCCCTTCTATATAAAACTCAATCGCATACATTTATTAATGATAATGTCAAGTCAATTGTAATATTAAAGTTTGTATAAAATAAACTCTTCATGTCCTTGAAAAAAAACTCTTCATGAGTCATGTTACAATCACATCACATGTGACACCAAAGTTGATACCACTAATTTTTATAAACAATGATTTCTTACATTGTTTGTAAAGTTCACATCACATTCTGTCTTTCAACAATTTTGACCACTTCAAAGTTCAAACCTTACATTATTCTTGGTTCAAAGAATTTAACAACAACAACAACAACCCAGTTAAATCCCACAAGAGTAGGGTATGGTGAGGGTGTGTGTACGCAGACCTTGCCCCTACTCGAAAGTAGAGAGGCTGTTTCCAAAGAGACCCCCGGCTCAACGTCGAAAGTTGCATTGCTTGACTAACTGCTACTTCATTAATTAAAGAAGCGCAGACAGTTTAGAAATCCATTTTGATTTATTCCATCACACCCCAAAGCCAAAAAATGGTGAAATTTTGGCTCCATCGGAGATAAAAGGAGAAGATAAAAGAAAATGTAAAAGAAAATGGTCAAAGAATTTAAAAGAAAATGGTCAAAGATAAAAGGAGAAGATAAAAGAAAATGTAAAAGAAAATGGTGAAAATGGTCAAAGAATTTAAAAGAGAAGATAAAAGAAAATGTTTGGGAAAACATATTTCTTGTTTGGTTAGTGATGAAAAAAAGTGAAAATAAAAGACAATCAGAAGAGAAAGTAAAATAAAAGGAGAGAAAATCAAATGTTTTCCATTTTGGTGAGGAAAAGGTGAAAAAATTTTCTTTTTCTTTCTATTTCAGATTCCTTGAACCAAACATAACATTAAGAAATGAGCTCCTTGTCACGAAAATATTATTGAAAGACGCAAAGGAGAATACAAGCAATGATAATTGGTAGAATAAGAAGAAATTCACAACTACAGAAAATTGTATTTCATTTTTGGCAAATTTTTTGGAAAAGTGTTGCAAGATGATTGAATAGTGATATTTACAAAAGCTTAAACTAATGAGCTTTGAGTGAATATAATCCCAAATGCGAGCACTTCTCAAGGCAATGGCTCTTGCGAATCTCCCAGCATTGACTGGTGAAGGTAAGCATTTGCCCCTATAGTGTAGGACTCATAAGTTGGCGATTTGGTTCGGTTTTACATAAAAAATATGTTAACCGTTGATTATTCAGTTCAGTATTATACGGTTTTTATTTTGGGTTTTTTTTTTGTATTTTCGGTTTATAAAAGTAAAAATTTATAAGCATTCAAAAATTATAAAAATACTAACTCGATGAAGGAATAATATGTAGGGTTGGATTTGGTTTTTTTGTTTGATTTTTATACAAAACCAAAAATCGAACGAAAGGTTAGTGTTCTGTTTGGTTAAAATTTAAATAAAAATATGTGCTGACTGCCCAATAAGCTTTTAGGAGATTCCAAATACTCCCAAAGACATCATATGTAAATACTCTCTCCATCCTAATAAGTACTCTTGTAAAATTGAACCAAACGGATACTGAGGCGGCAAACCGGGTGATTCGTTTGTAGATTTCAAATACTCCTAAAAACGCCATTAATGAACCTCGAACCAGCTGATTCTTGGCGGGTGATGAAGCTCTCAAGAAAAGAACTTGGAGTTGAACCAAACCTCAGAAGCCCAGAATTCTTCTGGTTATTATCTTTATGATTACCAACAAATATGGGGTTTGGAGACGAAGAAGAAGAGTCCACGAACAAGAGCTCCCTGCTGCTATTCTGGAATAACCCCTGTTTGGTTGGGCTGGAACTCAGGGGAAATATAGAGCTGGAATCACCTAAATATTGGGAATCTTCAAACATTTATTTATTTATTTATTTATTTCTCTCTACTTTAACCAACAACAATTGCTTTCCCAAAAGAGAGCTTTAGATCTATGCTATTTTTGGGAGGGAAGCTTTGACATGGGATTCAGACGCACTAATTATAGTAAAAGTCGTTGATGATCCGGGCCGCTCCCGGTTCACCTCTTTTCTCTCCTCCTCCTTCAAACCTTATCTGGTGGTCAGAATGTTGAAATTGTCACTGTCTATCCTTCTACATGTGTTCAAGTAGGCCTTCTTAACTGCAGGCTGATCACCAAGGGTCCTCTCAATGCCTTCTGGGGTCTTGAACTTTAGACATAAATGTTCAAGGGGTAGGGCCCCTCCTAGGTCCTCTAATCCAGGCCTCCCCAGAATGGCATTATGGCGCATTTGATGTCGACCACCACAATCTATTGTTATCTTTTTCATCATCATCGCCACATCTTTCCATCTTCTTCTTCACATTTCGTCTTGTTCTCCAGCCCCCCATCCCTCCTCTTTTCTTCCTTTTTTTTGTTTTGTTTTGAATTCTACGCCATTCCATCCCCTTTATTGCTTCTTCATTTTCTTTTCTTCTATCATTATTATTATTTTATTATTTGTTACTATTATTATTATCATTATTTTTTTATTATTAAATTTAACTAGTAGTTTTTCTCCTCTAATCGTTTTAGCAAAAAGCACTAACGCTCCTAAAAGAATTTTGTATGCCCCCATTAACCTTTTCTAATCTTCACTTGCATAAAAAAAGTTATGTACTCCGTATAATTTATAAAATTAATATTATTTATTAACTTGGTTATAAATTATATGTCGTAATTCATAATAATAATATTAAATTCAACACTATTTTTACCGTCTCATAATATTTTTAGAAAAATCCAGAGACACTTACTCGTCTTATTCTTGCCCCAAGTCCTCTCATTTTCTAGATTCACCACTACTAATAGTGACTGTCGTCTGTCGATGACTAATGCGGAAGACAACATCAGATGGCTGCAAAATTAGAGTTATGAAAATTACTAATAATTTTCTTAAAAAGCCAATAGTAAGTGTTATTTTAAATAATAAGTTCTTTTTTCTAAATAATAATTAGTGTTATTTTCTTAAAAATGGAGTAATAAAACAACTAACTAATTTTAAATAATAATAAAAATAATAAATAATAATAATAGAAGAAGAAGAAAATTATAAGAAATAAATAATGATTAATATGAATTAAAAATAATATGTAATTTTAGTTTTATAAAAATGTACGGTAGTAAAATTACTAATTATTTCTTTTAATTAATAATAGTATTAATGATAATAAGTGTTATGTTTTTAATAATAAGTGCTATTTAGAAAACTACTAATCAATTTTTTAATAATAATAATAATAATACTTAATAACAAATTTATAACATTAATTGTTATTTAGAAAAATAGCACTTATTATTAAAAAATAACACATATTATTATTAATACTATTATTTATTAAAATAAATAATTAGTAATTTTACTACCATAATTTTTTATTAAAATATCCTATTATTTTCTTATTATTATTATTATTATTATTCTATTATTATTATTTATTAATTATTATTTTTATTTATCATTATTATAATTATTATTATTAAAAATTAGTTAGTTGTTTTATTAATCTATTTTTAAGAAAATAAAACCAATTATTATTTAAAAAAGCACTTATTATTTAAAATAACAATTATTATTATCTTTTAGAAAAATATTATTAGTAGTTTTCACAACTCTAATTTTGCAGCCATCTGGTGTTGTCTTTTTTATTAGTCACGCATTAGTTATCGACATCCACCATTAATAGCAGTGAACCCAAAAAATGAGAGGACTTTGGGCAAAAATAAGATGGGTAATCGCCTCTGACTTTTTCTAAAGATAATATGAAATGAAAAAATAGTGTTGAATTTAATATTATAATAATGAATTACGACGTAGTAGTATAAGTTTTAACCAAGTTAATAAATAATATTAATTTTATAAAGTATACATAACGTTTCTTCCGCAAGTGAAGATTATAAAAGGTTAATGGGGGCATACAAAATTTTTTAGGAGCCTTAGGGTTATTTTCCTAAAACAAATGGAGTAGTAAAACTACTAATTAAACAACAACAACAACAACAACAACAACAACAATAATATAGTAATAGAAGAAAAGAAAATTGAAGAACCAAGAAAGGGGGGGTGGCGTAGAATTCAAAACAAAAAAAAGTAAAGAAGAAAAGGAGAGGAGAGGGTGGCCGGAGAAGAAAACGAAAGATGAAGAAGCAGATGGAAAGATGTAAATTTCACCCATGGTATACGAACTTTCATCATTATTTTTACTTCGCATATAAATTTTAATTTCTATCACAAAAGTATACCCATGGTCAAATTATAATTTTATAAATTTTGTGATAGGAATTAAAATTTATATACCGAAATGAAATAATGATGAAAGTTCGTATACCATGGGAAAAATTTACCTGGCGATGATGATTAAAAAGATAACAGAAAATTGGATTTGACGGAGAGAATTGACAGATTGTCACCCCGTAGTGATATTTTGAATATTTTAAGGTACCTCGGAGTATATTTTGAAAAATAATGGACCTGCGATTTCTTATCCCAAAACTGGGGGTACCGAGCAACAATTTCTTAATAGAGTGTCATGTCTTCCACTAGTAAGTCATTATTTTTATCATTTTTTCATTTTCTTGCTATATTTGAATTACTCCGTATTAAAAAAAATCTGGGGAATTCCAGTTTGAGAGAAATTTTAAGTGGTGAGTATGAGGTAATGTGATTGGCAATACTTTTGGCATTCCCCAGATTTTCTCCGGAACTATTAGAGGAAAAACACTTGATCTAGCAACCACTCAACTGCTTGAACAAGGCAATTACAAATTACTCCGTTTTCGTTTTTACGATTTACACTAAGATTAATCTTGTGCAACAAATGTATTATCGTACTCCGGTGTCACTAGAACCCCACCGATGTATTATATATATATGCTGGACGGAGCATAACAAAGTCTAACCGACAAGGATTTGGTAAGACGTTAGTAAGTGAGAGAAGAGATTAGTTACATGCCCCAAATACCTCGAGCTAGAGTGGATTTGCCAGGCCGAGACGTTAGTTCACACAAAATCCTTGCAAATATATCAGAATGCTTACCATCGGCAAAGAGAATCTCAGTGAAAGCAGTTTCAAAGGCGAGCAGAAGGGGCTTGTTCTGTGGCTCTGCCACTAGGCTCTCCAAAATAGAGGCTGCCTTCCTGCAAACTTCTGATACTGGATGCGGCGACTTGATTACTTTCAACAACCGATCAATTGCCCTACACACGCACACAATAAAAAGTTCCAAGGAAATGGAAATAGGCTCGAAATGTAAGTTTTAAGCTAGGAAAGATGTAATCTTAGATTCATCTCACCATCTTTCACTTGCAAGCTTCAGTCGGCAGTCCATGTTTACTTCTACAAGATTGTACAATGCACCCACGGCAGCAGCCTGAGCATCGTTTGTAGGCAGACTCATCATATCAATTAACCTTTTATAAATCTGCAAAAACCATTGTCAATTCTTCATTGTTATTACGTTTCCATGTGGTGATCTTTTACATTTTTTTGAAGCCGAACCAATAAGAATTCTAATA